AGTTAAACAAAAATGAATACGCATAAAGGACAAAAAAAAATGAATTAAATTTGTTAACCAAGATTTTTTAGTTATATCTAATAGTTTAAAAGTCACTTTAAAATGGGATTTGGAAAAGGTACCTAAATAAAACATGTTACGTTGTATTTACATTGCCTGCATTATATAAATGATTAAATGAATTTGTTTAATCATTTTTAGGAAAATTTACAAAATTCTTCAAAAAAAGAACCAGAAAATAATGTAAAGGACTTTTTTATGGTATGACATTTTTTTGTATACCTATTCTACATGTATTTATTAATATAATAATTGGAATATTTAACTTTAATTAAATTACTTTTTTAGATGAATAATGATGAAAATGAGAGACAGTCTTATTGTCCATACAATCATTGAAGAAGCAAAATATTACAATTTAGTATTCATTGTAGAAGAGGATGTTGAGTTACTAATTTTATATACAGCCCTGTGTGAGAGGCTTAACATTTATTTCCCAAAACCTAGTAAAGGAAAAACACCTCAAAAATTATAGTCAGATCATAAACTGTCTTAACGACACAACTTTCTCTAAAAACATTCTGTTTCTACATGAATTTAATGACTGCCGTATTTGAACGAGGCAAACAGAAGTTTATTATAACATTGACCAGCAATCCTAACTTATGGCCTCTCGCTGACTTATTCCTGATATCAAGTGCGAACCGAGAAGCGATTATAGACGCAGGTAACCAGATTTTACTACACATGCGGCTAAGTTTAAATTCCTTTAGACAACAGAGGCCGCAGCTGAACAACATTCGTTTAGGACTTATGTTCAAGTTTAAGTTCAATTGAGACTTGGGAATAAGCTGACCCCTGAAATTTGGGACTAGAGAAGATCTAACGCAGGCCTAATTCAGGTTACTACTAAACCAATGCCTGCTTGGTCGCAACTTTTAAGACAACTTGCATGCTAATGCAAGAAAGGCTGTCGTGCAGCATGAGGGTATAGAAAAGGCGGCATGAAATGTCTTAATTGTAACAACGCATCCCTCAATGCCTCAGATGAAGTCATCACTGATCTCACGGAAGATGAAGACGACCACTAAGAAGTCACCCTTCAGTTGCTGTGCCAGAAAATTGATCAGGGAACTGATAAAGATGTCTTGGATGAAGTAGATAATACAATTTTAGATACAGAAACCTTCCTAGGTCTGTTCCGACAACGATCAGAACTAGTCATTGACTCCAGGATTCTGCGCATTATATAATTTGGCTGTCGAAATAATTAGCTGCGCATAATCCTTGTGTCAGTAACTGGTTTCTGATCATTGTTGGAAGATATCTAATAATTAACTGTACGACTAGCTGTTTCTTAACACTGTTACATGTATGAAATCCTTTAAGTGTTAGTTCAAAAATATTTGTTGGGGATTTACATATTGCTATTTACTGTTTTAAATACAAATTGTAGAGGAAAGAACAGGTAGCTGTGTCCAGCTCTGATCGGAAGTAACCTACTGCTCTAAGACGTTCTAAGATGTCAAGAGCGTGCTGAATTTGCCGATTTATTTTATAACTGCTTTTTAACAATTAGTTATAATTATTTTGTCAAAATTATACATTTTCAATTTCTAATTATGCTTCAATTATTTCTTTATATGCACTACCAAGCAATGCGACAAAAGATGTAATGGGGGAGGGGTGAGGGGTGAGGTAGGGATAATAATAATAATAATAATAATAATTTACTGGATGGTGCAGTAAACTTCGCGCAACTAGCACCGCGCAGTACCACATGGTGGCGTCACTGTTTATCAACGCTTATCCCAATGCATGATCCCTTTGTAAAATTGTTTGCTCTATAACAAAAAATAAGTATTTTGTAAAAATGGAAACGTTTCCGAGGGAAATTTTAGTGGAAAGTTGCAAATTCGGATTAAGCGGTAGAAATTACATAAGTCTCATGTCTACCAGAGAAATTGCAAGGCAAGCTTTTTTGTGGCCTTAATACTTGTATTCTGTATCTGTAACGCTATGGTAATGCATGGTTTTATTAACTGTTGGAAGTTAAACAAATTATATTACTAATTGAGGAATAGATTATTGTTGGTATTATCATTTTTTGTTTTATACCATTTTTGAGCATGTTTTTTAGGCATAACTATATTTTGGTTCATTTAATTATAAACTACATGTCAAAACAAAACAAAAATAGTGCCTAAAGAACAGTAGAATTTCTTAAAAAAGTGTTTTAAATAAAAAAAAATATTTTTCTGGATTTTTTTTTGTCGACATAGACTCCTTCTCATACAGCCAGTCACAAAAGGGACGAGGTAAATTAACAAACAAATAATGAATGAAAAAAAGAAAACATTAAATAATTAAATGGGCAGACACGAATTGAGAACCAAAATGAAAATATTAAGAAGGGTTTATTTTTGTACCTGAAAATATGACAGGAATTGAGGACCAGGCTTCTGAGAAATAATTATAGTAAGTGCACCGAATTGCGGATTAGGGATTAAGGTTGTAATGATGATTCATTGCGTTAACGAGCATTTTATTACTTTACTTTCGAAATTCTAATATATATTTGAAGTGAGTGTTTTGTGTTTAAGTTTATTTTGAGCAGTCTTGTAAAAATGAGTGAAATTAAAATGATCTTAAGTGAAAAGGGAAAGTCGTTACTTGTGTGGGATGATTATAAGTTTCGTGAAAAAAAGGTTCTTAAAAGTGGTGAAAAGTTTTGGACTTGTACTGTAAGTAAATGTAACGCAAAAGTATTTACGCTAGGTTCAGATAATATAATTTCTCGAAAAGAAACAGTGCACAATCATGAAAATGACATAAAGAAATTAAATAGACAAATTTTGAGTGTAGCAAGCAAACGGAAAGCTGTAGAAGATATCACAGAACGGCCATCGAAAATCATACACTCTGTTTTAAGGGAAAACAGTGATACAATGGACGCTTTGACAAGAAAAGACATTACATACATAAGAAATAATATGTATTACAAAAGACGTCAAGTCCAAGCACGTTTGCCAAGCAATGTATCAGATGTTTTCGATATTTTACCAACATTAAATTTGACAACAATTAAAAATGAACCATTTCTCTTGGCCACTGATAATATTAACAATATTGTAGTATTTTCGTGCTATACTAATTTAAAATTTTTGTGTAGTAGTGACAAAGTGTATCTTGATGGAACATTTCGATATTGTACGAAACATTTTTTACAGTTGTTCACACTTCATATCGTAGAAAACGGCCATTATATACCAGTAGCTTTTTGTTTATTACCGAATAAACTTCGTTTAACATACGAAAGACTTTTCGTTATTCTTAAAGAAAAGTGTTGTAATGCTAATTTAATATTTGTTCCAAAAATTATTGTAGCTGATTATGAACTAGCTATTCACAAAGCAATTTCTGCGCAATGGCCCACCACAAAGATCATTGGATGTAGGTTTCATCTTGGCCAAGCTTGGTACAGAAAAATACAGAGTTTGGGATTGGCTAAAGAATACCAAGATGAAAAAAGTGCAACTGGAAAATGGATGAGGTATCTTTTTGGATTGTCTTTTTTAAAACCCGAAGAAGTTGGAGAATGTTTTGCTTTGGATTTGGCTGAATTTCAGCCCGATCATATGCATAAAGCTGTGGTAAATTTAGCTGACTATTTAGTAAAGAATTATATTGAAGAAAATTCTTTATTTCCACCAACAATTTGGGCTGAAGCTGTTGTAACTACAGAAAATTCTACCAATGCATGCGAGTCCTTTCATTCTAGATTTAATTCAAATTTCTATTCAATGCACCCTTCATTGTATTTATTTGTAAATGTTTTGAACAATTTTCAAACAGATACTTATATTCGTATTAACAGACTTAAGGAGTCTGTTAAATGTAACAACAAAATTGTTAGACGAAGATTAAATATGTTAACTTCAAAAATGTTAGAATATAAAAATGGTTCTATAAAACGAATAGATTTTGTAAAATTCGCATCAAATTATCATAAAGTGTATTAAATGTAAATAATATGTATATGTTTAAAAAATTAATTATAAATTGTAAATTGTGCAATAAATATCTATTTTTATCTGAATTCGTACTTTTCTTCAAATTTTGCAAATCCATCAGAAGACAAATAATAATATTATAAATGGGTATAGTGATAAGATACTTCAATTATTGAGAAGTTTGTTCCTCAATTCGTGTCATATTTCCAGGTACAAAAATCTCTCTCAGTAATCTAGTTAACGCAATGAACCCTCATTACCACCTTAATCCCTAATCCTTAGTACGGTCCGCAATTCGGTGCACTTATTTGGTCTGTGCAGGTAGTGGTCCTCAATTCGAGAACACCGAATTAAATAACAACAAGAGGATTAAACGGGGACACTCGAATTTTCTGAATTATTTTATTTAAAATAAAGGCCAAACAAATGTATAATTTCACTAAATTTCTTTAGAATTAAATTATTTTTTAAAAAAATGAAAAATTTGAACGAATTTTTACATTTTTGTCAAAAATTTATGTTAAAAAGAAGTATTTGCAAAAGCTATATATTTTTGCTTGATCTACAACTTTTATATTATAAATTTTTGTTTTAAACGTCAACATTCGCCAGAAATAGCGATAATATAATTTTTTACCCCTTTTCTCTCTAACTGAGTTAATTTGACCGTTCTAAAAGCGTCTGACCAATTTTTATTTAAAAAAACTACACATCTTAAAATATCCGCACCACAAAATCTAGCACTAAAATATTAAAAGTTTGGACCGTATTAAAATACATTTTGAAAATATTTTTCAAAATACAAAAGGAAATATGACAATATTAAACTGTTGATTGTTTCTCTTTCACTTTATTCTTTTTTTTTTAAATTTTAAGCAGCTGTACTATTATCTTCTACTAAATAAAAATAAATCCACCACAGCTGCTTAAGTAAATTCTTATTAGTAAATTGTAGCTGCACAAATAATATATTTAAATTCTACATACCGTAGGGGGTTTCTTTTTTTTGCATTTGATCTTGAAGATTGCTCGAACCGAGGTTGGGCGAAGAGGTAGCTTGGGGTGGTGCTGGTGTTTGTTCTAATTGTATTGAGCAGTCGGTTCCGGCCCATCCGGGGTGGCAGTAGCACTTGTTGTCGTTTGTACAATACTAAAATTAAAACAATTAATAATGTATAGATTTATTTTAACAAATAGTATCTCGATATTTAAAAAAAAAAGTTTGAAATTTTAACAGCTAAGTATCAAAGTTGAATTTCTGTTTGTTTAAAATTGAATTGGAGTCTCTGTTTCGTTACTATTTCCAAACTAACAGATTAATAAACTTCAAATTTCTAGAAAGTATTTATAGAAAGAATAGAAACATTATTCTGCAAACAACATTTTCAAATCTTAACAGCTGTTAAAGTTAGAGAGCATTGAAGTAGAATTCCTATTTGTTTAAAGTTGATATTGGAGCCTTTCTTTCGTCACTATTTTTAAACTAATAGATTTATCAACTTCAAAATTTCAGAAAATATTTAAAATAAGTGTAGAAACATTAATCTGCAAACAAAATTTTAAATTTTAACAGTTGTTAAAGATAGAGAGTATCAAAGTTGAATTCATATTTGTTTAAAGTTGATATTCGAGCCTTTGTTTCGTTTTGAAATAAAAATACCAAAATCATAATAAGAAATTAGAAAAATAAACAAAAATTCCGATCACAAAAAAATTCAATTAAAGAAAATAATAGTGAGGCTAATTTGTAGTTTTCAAATATGGATATACAGAATTTAAATATTTTATAAAAAAGTTATCAAATTTATAAAAATATTAAGCCATTTTTTTAAATGCAATTTTGAGTAGATTAAAGAAAAATTCTTTAGTATTAAATATAATTTCTTTAATTGTATTTGGCTCTGTAAAGTGTAAAGATAGCAGAACACAAATTTGAACGCTCAACGTAAATAGTTACATACTTTATGTAATTGATTAAATAAAGCAGATCATTTTTAGACTTTCTGCAATTACGAAGAAATGCCACTTTATATGTAAAAATTAGAAAAGTTAATTTATAATAAAATATTAACTATATACAGCTTAAGCCACCGATTACGCCTTGGTCTATAGAGCCAAAGTATTTGATTTTGTTTAATCTGTAACAAGAAGTTTTGCCATAAGCTACTAAGCCGTGAAGGACCTTTCACTTAAAATTTTTTGAATAAAATAGAAAATGTTACCTCTAAGGTATCTAGTAATTTCTGGACTTTGGTTATTTCTGTTTGTAGAAAAATCAAATTGTCCAAGATAGAACGATGATTTCTAAAACATGTTTGATTTTTGGAAGAATATATTTTTTTTCTAAATACCAAGCAAGTCTTTCAATAACCATCTTCTCCATAAGTTAACACATCGTGCATCTGAAGGAGATAGGCCTATATTATTTTGGACAAATTGAAGATAAGTTGTTTTTTTTTTATTGGAAGTATAAGACTGGCTTCACATCTTGGGAAACTTTTGACTAATCCAAATTTTATTAAAAAATTCCAATAATTTAATCCGACAAATTGAGGACAACTTCTTAATAAATATAAAAGGTATCTCATCAGGTCCTGTGGCTGAATTTTTAAATGAATCGAGAGCCATTTCAAATTCTACTAGAGAGAAAGGTAACTAAATACAGTGTGCATCTCCAGGTTGTGAAAGAACAAAAGGGTTTTTAGGGTTTTTATTAGGATTGATAATATTTATTCGATTAGGATTTTTGAATTTTTTCTCAAAATTCCCAGGAATAATATTGACAACCTCATCTCTAACAGACAATGCAGTTAAGTAAGCTCATTATTTATAATCACTTTTAATTATGTGCCTACATAAAATATCTGTTTTAATTGGTTTTCTATTCCTATGATATTTCCTAATTTTATATTGTTTACTACTGATTTATTGACCTCATATCATTTTTTCCATTTGCACATACCAAAACAGTTTTTGGTACCTTTATAATATCATTTTACCCTTTTCATTTATTGTTTACACTTCTGACCCTGTATCTAATAAAATTTTTATCCCTTTTTGCATTATTTTGCATTTCAATTAATTAACCATATTTCTTCCCCATACTTTCCTCAATTTTATAAATTCCCTTTGGTGTCTATATACACAAACTTTAGTTTTAGCTAATGATCTTGAATATTTTTTACAAATAACAAACTTTTTAAGATCACTAACTAGATTTAGATTATTATTATAAATTTTATTTAGTCTAATGTTTGCATTTTGACTTAGACTTTTCTTTAGAATATAATAATTTCTTTCCTTCAATGTCATTGTCAATATCTGGGCTGTCATGAAATAAATAATTTTCGTGGGATAAAGTTAAAATTCTAAGGAAAGTGTTGTTTCCTTTCATTTGCCTAATTTTGTTCCAGACCTGCTTTAAAGGAGTTTTTGCAGTTAAAGAGGAGACATAATTTTTCCAAGAGTCCTTTTTTACTTTGTTTGAGGATAACTTTAGCCTCAGCTCTCGTTTTCTTAAAAAGTACAAAATCTTCTGTTTCTAGTTCTACGATATCTATATCCTCGATATTTTAATTAAATTTATATGCGACACTAAGCTAGATATTTGAGACACTACTTCTCTTATTTCTTTCTTTTCTGTATTCCGTTTTTATTATTTGAACATTCTGTGGCAAATGGACACCGTCCGAAGCCATATCTCTCACACAACACAACAACACACTATTTAAGGATGTTTCACAATCCAGGACTGCTGTATGACAGTTATTATTTTACCATGGAGCTAGTTTTTTGAAGGTTGATATGATACATTTTCCGATGTACATGTTAGCAGCAGAGATAATACAATAATTAAGAAATTCTAAAGATTTATTTATATCATCTACAGATTGCAAATTTTCAAACGGAGATTTAATATGTCCATTGAACATTACCCAGTCGGAATGAGTGAGTCTCCATTTTGTAATACTTTAAGTAGGCTTATACATATTATTGGAGATTTTTATTGGAAAGTGGTTGCTATCATAGAGACTATCTACTACGTGCCAAGAAAGTTTGGGAGCTGCTTTAGGACCAGAAAAACTTTAATCAACAGAGGAAAAGGTACCAGATGAAATGTTAAAATATGTACTAGAGCCAGCATTCAACAAATAAGCGATATAGCAATTTAATACATTTTCTATTACTTTCCCTCTGCCAAAAGTTTGTTTTGAACCACACAAAGAATTATGAGCATTGAAATCACCAACAAGTATAAATGAACTAGGAAGCTAATGTATTAGGTCAAATAGATCTTCGTGCCTGTCAGTTGATTATTTAACAAGGAACTACAAACTCACTGAAGGGGCAGCTGTAAAAATTGGGTACCACGGATACAACTTAGGAACACTATAGGCGCTTTGCAACAATTTAAAATCTGCTTCTCTTTATAAAAATATGAAAATTTCACTAGTAACAAAAGGAAAGATGAACTCGCATTCAAATCAGTGGCGTGTAAATTAAAAAATCTTCCAAAATTATTAACTTTATGTATTGAGAATCTCTAACACAAAAAAAGTATCATTAGAGTACTTTTAAATGTTAATAAAAAAAGAGGGTAATAAGTAAAAAAAAAAAAATGAAAAATTGATGTTTTTGAACTTTAACTCAATCTGTACACATTTTTTTTATTTGAAAAAAAAAATTGTGCGTCGGCCTAAATATCGAAAAACTTTTAGCGTAAAAAAATTGATTTTAAATTGCTTTTTTTGCAGTATACACGTCACTGAAATCAATACAATTTTCATATAAAACTAATTATTGCTTGTGAAATACACTATATAATCCCATACTATTTGAGATTTCTATAACTGGAAAAGCTAGGACAATTCAAATATAAAATAAAATACAGGGTGTTCCATTTAAAAAACCTGACTTTATTATGTATCATTTTTCTAGAGTATCAATATATTTAACCCTAATTTGAGGGTGATTTAAACTAACAAATTATGGGACTATTATATTAAACACAACATGTTGATTCTACAACAATTTAGTTCCCACTGCAGCACAAAAATATAAAAATTTCTCTAGTAGATAAGACACTAATTTACAGGATGTAATAATTTGAATATGTATAATCATATGAAATAATTATATTTATATTAGGTATTACACACTGTGTAATTACAATTATGTGTAAATTGTTCCTTTTTCTGATATGCATCATGAAAAATTAAATAGTTTTGACTCTACAGACCAAGGCGTTACCGGTGGTCCACCCTATAGAATAAGAATGCTTACCCCATGTCCAGAACACTCATCACTGGCTTGGTTAGACGGACATTTTTCTTGCTTGATATAAGGAAATATACTTGTACAAGTTTGATTAAGGCATATGAGGTTTTCTCCACAAGGCGTTCCATCTCTAACTAGACCCAGAAATGTTAAGTCTGATGTTCTCGGATCGTTCTTATCCTTGCGACCAGTCGTTGTCCTATGAATATATATTGATTTTAATCATTTAAATAAACTAATATTAAAAATAAATAGAATGTTCTTAAGGATATTTAAGAAATGACACTGGATAGAAAATAAAAGTTCTAATGTGTTTTTAAGGACTTTAAATTAAGTATTTCGATATTTTTACATATAATTCTCTACGAAAAATGAAGATACCTATAGACAAAAAAAGCATGTGGAATAACTTCTTATCATACCAGAATCCTACAACAATTTTACCAGAAATAAAGCCATCAAACGGTTTTTAATTGTTAGTTTATTTTTGGGATTTTGCCAGAAGATTCTTCAGAAATTTCGAATGCTTTAAAAAAAATGAATAGATACAGCATTTTAAAAACTTTTTGGCGTAATTTATCATCAATAAATATTTTCCCTACTTTATATTAAACCATTGAAATCTTTAAATAAAAACTTACTTGCACTCGTACTCCAGACCTTTAATAGAAATTATTGTTCGAGAATGATCTTGTGGTTGGTCCAATCCTTCTACTACTGGATACCTGTTGCCGAGTTGACACTGTAAAGAACCGCACTTTACGTTTTCTGGCGAACATTTAATATACCTTCCAATGCCCTCGCTTCCACAGTGTCCATTAATCGATCCTTTAGAATTAAACTGTTCGAAACATTGGGTATCAGCTTCAACTCCACCTGAAAGGATCAGATTTTTGTTCAAGTGCCACTAAATCAGAATTATGATTAAAGTCGATGCTTAAAACTTATGTACTGATAGTAATTTTTAAATCTTCGCTTGAGTTCACTTAGAGACTTTCAACTAACTTCAATATGCAGGATGTCCTATTAATTTTATTTAGAGTGAAGAATTTGATAATATATTTATGTTTTATTGTTATTAAATTTGGTATGAAATATTTGTGAATTTTCAACGGAATAACATCCTTTGAGAGCCTTACAAAAAATTGGAAAATTGATATACAGGATCATTCTATATCAAGTATCGCCAGCCAACGTGGGGTATTATGTATAAAGGGAGACCAAAACTTTTGTATACTTGGAATGTTGGAATTTGGAAGGAAAACTGGTAAGATTGTTTATAGTTTCTTTTATTTAAACGGTTGATTTTGGCATATTTTTGTATAGAAAAAATATACTACACATGTGTGATGTTCATAGAGTTTAGGAGACAAGAAAATACTTTGAAAGTTTATAAAATTTCGGTGGAATTTAAGCAATGGGAAAATAACATTAAATTAAATTTGTGCATGTGGGTATGATAGGAGGAATCTAGGATGAAAAAAAAAAATAGGTTTGACAGAAGTTACCACGAAGAAGAGAGAAGGGAACAAATTAATTTTAATAATGATAATTATGGAGAACATAGAAGAAATGAAAATTGAAACAGAAGAAATAATTACGTAAATAGTAAGAAATATGATTATGGCAATAGTTATAACAGAAATTGAAATTGGAATAACAAAAGAGATGTATCAGAAGATATGAGAAATCAGGTGGAACAAACATATGAAAGAAATTATAGAATGAACAATATACTAGTGATGGCAATTTAAGGAAATATTAAAGAAAATTAAATAAAGAATTATTGATAAGATGGCTGGAAATACAAATCCTAAAAAGGTGAAAGAAGAAGTAATAATCGCTCAAAGTGGAGTTCAAAGTTTGGAGGTCAAACAAATACAACAGAATTTTTCACACCCAAAAATATAGAAGCAATGTTCGTGGTATTGGCATTCGTATTTTTGTTGATGCTAGTTTTCAAGAAATGCAAGAAAATTACAGAGAGAAATGTGGCTAAACAAATTAGAGCTAGCCAAGAATTAGTTATAGATTTTTTTTTCAGCTTTTTAGGTATGACTAAATAAAATAATCATTATAATGGAATGAATTTGCAAAAGGAATTTGAAAATCTAATAGAAGAGCTAAAAGTGTTTTATAGAAATCTATTAAAAGACAGTAACGAAAGAAGAAGTGACATAAATGTAACTAACCGTAAGTTTAAGAAATTAGATAGGTTTAAAGATAGTTTTACAGAGGTAAAAATATTATTTAATAAATCAGACGTAGATTTTCACTCAAAAGCTTATATTAAAGAACTTGCAAATGTTGTTGATAAACTTATTGAGGCGTTAATTTAATTAAAAGGTTACAGTTTTTGCACTATATAGAGCAAACGAAACGGGAAACCAATTTAGAATCAGACTCTTCTCTTTCAGATTGCTCAAATAAAGTTAAAATGGCTGAAAAGTACGATTTAAAAACCGCGGCTAGTCTGCTACCAGTTATGAATGGCACCGAAACTGTTACTAATCAATTAATTGATGTTATTGAGTTGTATGACGCTATGCTTGATGCTGAAGGAAAAAAATTATTAACAACTTATATTCTAAAGAAAATAAGTCAAAATGCAAACATTAGACTAAATAAAATTTATAATAATAATCAAAATCTAGTTAGTGATCTTAAAAAGTTTGTTATTTCTAAAAAATCTTCAAGATCATTAGCTAAAACTAAAGTTTGTGTATATAGACACCAGAGGGAATTTATAAAATTGGGGAAAGTATAGATGAAGTTAGGAAAGAAATATGGTTAATTAATTGAAATGCAATATAATGGAAAAGAGGTAAAAATTGTATTAGATACAGGGTAAGAAGTGTAAACAATAAATGAAAAGGGCAAAATGAATTATAAAGGTACCAAAAACTGTTTTGGTATGTGCAAATGGAAAAAATGATATGAGGTGAATAAATCAGTAATAAACAATATAAAATTAGGAAATGTCATAGGAATAGAAAACCAATTAAAACAGATATTTTATGTAAGCACAGAATTAAAAGTGATTATAAATAATGAGCTTACTGAACTGCATCGTCTGTTAGAGATGAGGTTACCTGAAAAATCTCGACAAGGAGTGTCATCATCTGCTTTGGTTATGAGAAAGACTGCAAATCATACTAACGAAATTAAAAAGTGGCGAAAATATGTCAGATAATGTTAAAAATGCCACTAAATAGGTCATTTTGCTAAGAATTATCCAAATCAATACTTAAAAGAAACTACTGAATTAGATGGAGACGTATTTCCATGTGTAGAGAAAGATAAATGCGAGTATATTTCTGAATCTGAGCAATGGTTGGCTGATTCTAGATCATCGGCACACATGACCAGTAACAGAAATTATTTTAAAATATATGAGCTATTTATTTTACCAAAAGAAATACAAATGGCGATATTAATTTGGCATTCGGACATGGAGCAGTCAACGACAAAATTTTAAACGGATGACAGAAAAACCATCTTGAAAAAGTATGGTATGTTCCAGATGCAGATCGAAATTGTTTTTTTTTGTGGGACAAATCATTAGTAAAAGTTTTCAGTTTCAAGCAGATTGTAAAGGCTTTGCAGCTATAAAAGAGGTGTAAAGAGTGTGTAAACTGAAACGTAGTTTGTATAGCTTAAAACAGTCTCCACGATTTTGGAACAAGCATTTTGTAGATTTCATCAGAAATGAAGAAATATCAAATAGTTTAGCTGAAGAATAACAAGATTTTAATTGTAGTAATTTACGTGGATGATGGCTTGCACTAACGAGTGTGAGATGAAATTTATCAAACACTTGAAGGAAAATTTTAAAATTACTATGGGTTCATTGGATAGTTTTCTCGGTTTACAAATAAAAGAGATGGCCGAAGGTATTTTTGTGAATCAAAATTCATATATAACAAAAAATTTAACGCGTTTTAATATGAAGGATTCAAATTCTGTGAAAAGTCCTTGCAAGATAAAAGATGTGAATTAAAATATACTTCACCGTAAGGCCATAGGAAGTATGATGTATTTCGTGATTGTTTCACGTCCAGATGTAGCGTATGGCGTAAGTGTTTTATTCAAGATACTTAATTTACTTAAAATATCCCATTGGCGTGCAGTTAAACGTTTATTTCGATATTTTCAGGCCACTATTGATTTTGAATTAATTTATAAAGCAAATTCTTCAGAACAAAATATTTTAAATAGTGATGCAGATTACGGGGGTGATCCGGAAACAAGACGTTTAGGAACTGGTGTGGTTGAAAAGTTTTTGGACTGTGCTATAACGTGATTTACTTAAAAGCAGAAAAGTACCTCTCTTTCGACCACAGAAGCAGAGTATATATAGCCGCTAGTAAAGCTACAGAAGAATTAATATGGCTTCATAGATTGTTAAAAGAAATTAGAAGAAGTTCTTTAAACATTCGACCAACTTTGTACATAGATTCATAAACACTCGAAGCACATCTAGATCAGATACCACTTTAATCGAGAAAAGTTTTATGGACATTCAGCATATTAACAGTTTAAATCAGGATGCTGGTGTGATGAAAAAAGGCCATTCCAATGAAAATACTTTTTTGATTGAGAAAATTAATAGGGCTAGTTACCCTAAAATAATAAAATTGATTTAACGTTAATTTTGGGAGGAAATGTTAAAGTTGCAAAATTACATTTGATAGTAAAGGGGCTACGAGAGTTCTAGCGCAATCCTTACGTAAATTAACATGGGAAATCGCTAAGGTTCAAAATAGCAATTTTTGTCTCTTTCAAGGTCACTCGTCTTGAGACGTTTGACGTCAAACGAAACGTCATCCGAAACGTCAAACGAAACGTCATGCGAAACGTCAAACGAAACGTCAATCGAAAACGTCAAACGTCTCAAGACGAGTGCCCTTGAAAGAGTCAAAAATTGCTATTTTGAACCTTAGCGATTTCCCATGTTAATTTACATAAGGATTGCGCTAGAACTCTCCTAGCCCCTTTACTTTTGATTTATATTATTATTTTAGACATACTGTATATAAAATGTGTCTTGTTAGTTTTGAGATTTTATAAAAGTTAGTCAGGTTCGTATTTCCTTGAAATAATTAATTGGTTTCTTCAGTCACAATCCTATAAGTTCAATAATTGGTAACCTAACCAAATTATGATAATTTATTTTGGAATCTGCATAATTTCCTAATTTCACGAAAAATTTAATTGCTTGGCAAACTTGTAATATTTTTTAATACATTTTGGGGTTAAATACAGTATTACCAGACCATTCTAAAATTGAAATAAAATACAGGTATCTCCATTTAAGAAATATACATTTTTATTTGCCAAGCAAAATCGTAACACCCTGTATATTAAAAAAAAAATTAAATTATCTCTTTTTCAAATCCACGTAACTTTCAGTTGAAACTTGTTTGCGTATTTATAACAAAAATTGAAACAAGTACGCAGTAATGGGACACCCTGTATATTTTCAAGCTTTATGTTGCACCAACAGCTGAAGTCTATAAAATTAAAAAAATGCTACACAATTCACTTATGGCTTAAGTGCACTTAGGATGGTTCTGGATTTCTATCCCGCTTTTCTGCAGCAACTTGCAATATAACAGATTTCAAGTTGTACAAAAAATAATTTTAAATAAAATTAGTAACACATTGTTGATCTAATTTCGCAGCATATTGGAATTTACAATATTTTAACAACTCTGGTCGCTAAAATTAAATATAAATAATTACGCTTCCATAATTTTAAATTAAATGTAGAACTAAAAATCAATTTGTTAAATCAAAAGCTGCGGGCTGTAACGTAATAAAAAATTAGTTAAACTCATTTCAATTTAAATTTCAACTAGTTTGGTTTTTAGAGAGACCATCGAATAAATTAAATGTTAAATTAAACTATATACAGGATGTAACAAAATAGATGTACAGTAAATTTAATTAATCTTTCAATTAATAAATAAAAACTTACCTAGTCCCCAAATATGTTCGCATTGCACACTCAACGTAGGACATATCCCATTAAAACATTGTCCTAAACCCTGTTCGCAGGGACTGCTATTCTTTTTATAAACATCGACAGGACATTCTCCGGAAGATCCTGAACATTCTTCTGGTAAATCACATTCGTTACTTGCTTCTCTACACACTACTCCTTTTTCTTTCAGTTGGCAGTCTTCGCAACATTCACCAACGGCACATTGGGCTTCTTTTGTTAACTTACAAGTGATGGGGTCGCAACAAGGATTGTTTTTGTGGCAGTTTTCTATGGTGCCACAATCGCAGTCTTCGCCTTCTTCTACTATTTGGTTACCGCATGTTCGGCGATCCTGAAGTATAAATAAAAGTATCGTACAGTGCTAAGTAATTTACCTGCAAGACTAATATTGGAAGAGACTAGAATTGACATGAAGAATAAAGAAGATTCATCTGCTTTGTTTTCAAAACAAAAAATTTTTAGTAAAGAAGGAAGTAGCAAACAAGAATTCAATAAAAACAGATCCAGAAAAGGCAAAGAGAAAACAGATGAAGGAAAATCAAGCAGAAAACCTGGTAAATGTTATGTTTGTGGAAAAATTGGCAACTGAAAGGCAGAATGCTACTTTCGGAAAAGAAAGGAGAACAAGCAAACTACGAATAATGCTGTAGTCACAAACGATAGATGTGATGCTTTTATTAGTAGTGAACTAAATGAAGAAAACGTACAAGTTACAACAGGAAATATTCAGAGGAATATTGATGTCTGGTGCAAGCGAGTAGGCGAGACTGGTTCGTTGACTTTGAGTCCTTTAGGCATCCAATATCAGTAAAGGTTGGAAATGGAGCAACTATTTTAGCAAAGGGAAGAGGAAATATTAATATTTTATCTTTTGTAAATAATTTGTGGCATAAAAAATATCTTTATGTCCCTGAAATTAAACTAAATTTATTTTCTACAGGTGCTGCAATGGATAAGGGCTTTGTATTAATGTCAGACGACAAGGAATGCAGATTAATACGAAATAATGAAGTTTTGGCAGTTGGAGTTCGTTTATTGCGATTATACCGCATGTTGTTTAAAGTTTTGAAACCACAATCTCAAGGATCAGAGTTAGAAGCTACTTCAGAAGTAACTTTAATGGTAAGGTCATCTTTAGGCCAAGTAAAACATATCCTTAAAGAATGCAATATCCGATATACCGATAATGAAAAAGAATCTTTTTGTGACGGTTGTTATATAGGAAAACAGCATAGACAACCTTTTGCATCTTCTCACACAAAAAGCAATTAGTTGGTGAATTATTTCATATAGATCTTGGTAGCCCCATGCAAAATATTTCTGTAGGTGGATCACGTTATTACTTGCTTTTTAAGGATGATTATTCTCATTTTTATATTGTATGCTTTCTTAAGGAAAAGTCAGAAGTCAAAAATAAAATCAAATTATTTTTAAATTATATGAAAACTTAACTAAACGTCTCAATCAAAACTATTCGTTCTGATAATGGCACGGAATTTATTAATAGGGATGTAACACGTCTCTTAGATAACAATGGAAAAAACAGTGCCATATTTGCCAGAAAAAAGAGGTTCAATAGAAAGAGATATGAGAACGATAGTAGAGGCAAGCAGAACAATAATTCATTCTAAAAACCTGGAATTAAAATTGTGGGCTGAAGCTGTTAATACAAGAGTATATGTGTTAAACAGAACAGGCACAAGCAGTATTGATCGAAAAACTCCCTTTCAATCTTGGTACGGTGAAGTAACCAAAATAGACCATTTCAGAGTTTTTGAAAAATAGACGATAAAGAACTTTTTTTTAGATTTACCTAAAAAGGATTTAAGTTTTTCCTTGAGGACCTTTTGTTGCTTAATTTTTTTTTATTAAATTGTCCAAGGGCCCCACCTGGCTCTTGGAGGCCCTGTATAAAGTATGCGGTCACCTGTAGGATTAGGACTAAAACTAGGTTTAATATATGCAAAAATAAAAATTTACAAGTTCCTCAAAATAAAATTTGCATATATCAATCTATTTTTTACGAAACATATGCCCCACCCGGTATAATCTCCACTAAAAACGTTACAATGATGTAAATAGTTAAATTCCTCTAAATCTGCATTTATTATAAATCCAACTATTGAATCTCAAGACAACATCCTTACCGTAAGCTCGTTTGGTTTATTCATAAGGCAGATTCCATTCCCGGTCCTTAATCTATCAATATAATCCTCCTTACTGCACTCCGAGAACTTGTAAGGCTGGACATTATCCTGTCCAACAATAGATTGGGCCATAATGCAACCGTGCCAGTCTCTACACGAACATTCTTCTCTTCCATCGTCATGACCCATTCCAATATTGTGACCTGAGTAAAAAAGGATTTTTCAATTTTTATTACACTGACGTTATAAAAATAGAGAGAAAGCGTTACTTTTTATATGTTTGATCTGATAATTTGTAAATGTTGTACAAGTAGAAAACAGTCAAATTATAAACTAATATTACTTTTTACCTGCAGATGAAGTTGCAGTTAAATATCTAACGGATATATTATCCGAGAGTTACTATCTGACAGATAATTTCCGTCTTGTCAAAAGAAATTATCTTTAGGGTAATTATTTGGTACTTTTTAACATTCTATGGTAATATTTATATCAATCATATCAATGCAATATGTCACTTGTCTTATTTTGTCAATTATTTGAAAGTTTTTGTGTTTTTGAAAACAACAAAATAAAAAGATCGGCCAATAAAGTTATACTTGGAACATAAAGCTAAAAAACACAGATTCTGGGGTCTGTTTTACTGTCATCAACATAGATTCAACATAAAATCAACCGGTACAAGAATGACATTCTCTTTATTGAGCAAAATCAAAGGTAAAGTGTTGAAATTAAATTTCTATCTCTGCTGTCTTTCCTTTGGATGTAATTCTTTTAATAGTTGTTGAGGTATTATCCAAGTGAGCAGTGGCTTTGTATTTTCTTTATTTTATCCAACATAGTTAGTAGGGTAGCTACAGTTTACAGCCACACTCGCTGTCAGTTAAACTCCGAAGGAAACCTTAAAATTCAAACCTACTAGATAACCAAATATTGCTCAAAAATTTTGGCGTACGATGTAGGTGTTTATAAAATATTAAAACTTACCAATCATGTGTGCCATAGTCCCAGCAAGCAAGTGAGGCTCATAGGTATTGATATCAACGCTAATTCCCACCGATTTGCTGGTACAGACAGTTGCTGGGACAGCCATTCCAGCTTCACCACCAACGAAAACTTCACCAGTAAGTAACTGCGTCGTATCTTTATCAACTTTGAAGAGTTTTCTTGTAGAGTAATCGTTGAAATGTGACAATGCTTTACTGATATCCTCGTTCGGGTTAATATTAGCTTGATTGGAACCTAAAAATATTTATTTCGTAGTGGTAACAGAGTCTTTTAATCTGAGAATTTTCAGATATATTTGGGTATAGATTTGATATTTGAATGTTAAAAATATACTCAGGAAGCGACAGGTTAGAACATACCTTGCCACGTTTCTACATAAACAACAGACACCCTGGTATTTAAAGTCCTAAAATAAAGGTCTGCTATATTCGCAACTTGGATGGAATCGTGTACTACGTCGTTTCTGGTGCTCCCGTTTCTCTTATCGAACATCGCTTTGTCGATCACTAAGGCAGTTTCAATGTACTTAATGGCATCTCTGACGTCTCGTTTGACTCGTATGGTGTGCGGAAAAAATCCCGTATGCGTATTTACCCTCCATTCCATGCTACCGGAGTTGGCGCATCCCTTGCTGGCTTTAGTGCGAGCCTCGAAGATCACGTGTGGATGTTTCTGCTGAAAAAACGAAAGCTGTGCAGTCATTTTACATTCAGAGTTATTTTGTAGACAGATATAGTTGCTATAAAGTAATGTATTTCGTTAAAACAATTTTTTGGTAGCCGTCGATGGATACATTGTTTACTGACAATATGAAAAAATATTTGTTTTTAGTTTTTGTTAATCACAGTAATAATTAGTGAGCAGAACTGTGTTTGTATTCAATACACTCCTAGATGTTTGTATACCCCAGTTTACTATCATAAACAGCAATCTCCTTTCATGATCAAATCATATATAGCAAACTCCAACCTTAAATATCAAATATAACAAACTCCAAAATAGCCAATTTAAAATATTATTCAAAATCCTATGGCGATTTTGTCTGCAATTTATATAAAATAATTTATTTATACACTTAAAAGTAGACTGTGCTTATGCTACAATTAATATTAGATGCCAGAATTGTCACTCCATATAAATGCGATATATACCCAGATGAAATCGAGTCTGTTCCGATTTAATGAAATATTGAATCAATCCCTAGATGAATTTATGTGACAGAACCCTTACGTAGTCCGAACAATGCTTCGTGAGCCTCAAGACCCCTCGAACATTTTCTTTTCCTGTAGGAGTATCCGTCTCAATCCCTCGTTTAGGTCCATGCCAGTGTGCCTATTACAACTGGATTATGCCGATTATTCGGGACCATACTGATAGGCCGGTGAGGCTTCAGACGGGATAAGAAAAGGACCGGATTGAGTATAAGGAAATGTAGTATGGACCAAAGATAATTTTGATAGTGATATAATTATAATTTTGTGTATAGTTATTATTGTGTATTATTAGATTATAATTACAACTGGATTATAATCCTTGTACCAAGACGTTCCCAAAACTCTCTCATAAATAATTTAACAACTATGTAGATTTTTTTTAACTAAGTTAGTGGCACTGAATATAAACCAACAGGCCAGTCAATTGTCAGGTGAATAAATAAAAATATCGTTTAACAAACTTTATTATTTTACAAATTACATTAAAGTTTGCTTTACCTTTATAACTAAAATAACCTTAATATGGTTTAAATGTTTTTTATTTCCCTAGGCGTACGTACGTTTACGTTAGACGTAAATAGATACGTGAGTAAAATAGCTATTGCGCATGCGTAGCTGTCATTAGATACGTTTACGTATACGTTTCTGGCATTGCTTTAACTCTCTAATATCAAGTAAATAGCGGTAATAATATTTTCTTTCATACTGTAGGATGCAAAATTAGGTAAAATCATGTCTTATTTCTAAACGATGAGATTTCAGATTTTTGGGTTTTATTTTATGAATTAATATGTACAGAGGCTGTGCATCACTTTAACACATATAGGTTATATAACACCGGTATAATTGTTATCCTTTCTGAAAAATGAGGTAAGATTGTGGTGGGACTACAGCTTGTGGTTTCGGAGCTGTCATTTATAGCATTTATTTGTCAATAATTAGAACAAACGAGCAAAGCGTCGAAAAAGAGCCTTGAACCACCATAGTACGTACGGAATCTCAATAGTAAAGCTTAAAAATGGTACTTTTTCCCCACGTCTATGGGCAGAAAAGCCTGATGAAGGCAGAATGGATCTTAAGTAACAATACCCCAAAAGTGGGCCTAACGGGCATCCCCCTTTATATCAGGTGTTCTGTTGTCGTCCCAGATATTGATATATATGCAGTGCTGAGCACAATCGTAAAATACGGTATTGGGATGTTAGTGAAAAAGCGTGGCGCAAAATGAGTTTATACTTCTTATTTACATATTTTTATCTATATTCATATCTTGCCATACTCTTCGTGATACTGCTGTACATCAGTATAACAGACAATACGTATTCAGGTATTCTATTAGCAGTGTGTATGATTGCAAACTATAAAGGGACAACAAATATTCTGTAGTACTGTCATCATACTTTAGCCCGTTCATGGGAACTTAATATCCCTTCGGTTAGAAATGAGACATGGAAAAGGTCACACATGTGTTGTGTTAAACAAAACAAACAATAATGTAAATTTTCCACTAAAAGAGATGAGTTGAAATAAAACTATTCTTAACCTATTTTTGTGTTTATATTTCCTTCCTCCATTACAACTACAGTGAACTCTAAACGAAATTTTGAGATTCTATAAAAATCACTTCATGGACTAGACGTATTGGCCAAGGTTTTAAATATTTGTAAAACTAAGTTAGGACCCGGTTTGTCAGGTTACACAGCATCCAAAGATTAATTAATTGAGTTAATTTATCATAACTCGCAAGATATAAAATGTATTTTTACAATATTTGTATATTAATGTATTGTATAAATAGCATCGCATGTGGTTATTAGTCTCTTTAGCCATTGGTTTTACAAGCATAATATAGGTAGGTATCTAAATATTTATGTTTCAAAATAATGCACATATAATTGTCTCAAAAAATAATTATTTTGCCCATTTTTTCGTCCTCCATAACTTTTGAATCACTTTTTTTAATATTTGATATAGATGATCAACACCTATAAGACAATGAAAAACCTTGTATAAGAACAAATCTTTCCATTAAAAACCGATAGAAGCTCTTAATATACGAAAACCTTGCTAATATAACACCTAACACGAGTTTTATTTTTGTTTCAGAGCATATGGCTATTTTGTTAGATGCAGGTTTGTTATTAACACAGAAAAGGTATCAGAAACCGTTTAGGCACGGTCGAAAAACCGTTAATGCTAGCTAATTTAAGTTTAAAACTTTATCAACCCGACCATAATCGTTCGAACACCATTTCGAAACACGAATTCGGGATTGCAAACGGAAATTAGCAAACTTAATCTGAAAGAGGGTCCACTAGGTCTGACTGGTCATGAGTGGGAAATTATTAAAATTCTCGAGTTCGCCATTATCAATTAAAATGTCAATCTCCGGCGCGCGAATAATACGAAATATAACAACTTCACACAAATTGGAGGCCGTAAATTTCTACATGTTTGTGTAATTTTGATATCAGATTGAATGAGTGTGTGTCTGCGATGAGGTCGTATAGATAAAGGCTTTATTTCCGCAGAGAAAATTGGTAATTTGGATATGTACGAATTAGCATGGAAATAACTAAGTTAACCTTTCATTTGGTGCTTGATTTGGAAGTCCACTATTGTTATATTTTAAACGTATCGAGTTTTTAATTTGTTTCATAGAGGATGTTATCGTTTTTTGGGCCAATGGCTGATGTCAATAAATTTGTTACCATTTATAGATAATAATAAAGAAACTTCTCAAAATTTTAGACTTTAAAACGGCCTGGAACATACTTCTTTTAGTTTTTCTACTATTTCCTAGTTTCTTCAGATGTTTTCCCGTTAATATACGTGTTATTTATTTGGTATTTACATCAATGTTTTAACAAGAAAAACTCGTAACTCCTTTTGACACTATCATTTTATTAAACTGACCATTATTCATAAAATTATTATATCAAATCATAGTATGTAATAAATGTATATACAGGGCACAATAATATTTGTTTTTAATATGGTTACCATCTGTCTATCGTCTAAAGTCTATCGTATTTTCGACCTTATCTCTTAACGGGTACCCTATTTCTGTATAAGTAAAAAATTGAGAAATAAACAGGATAAAGAAGGGCAATTAATTGTAAGAATTCGACCGATATTTATTTCTATAGAATCCTTTAAATATCCTTCCTAAAACAAACGAAATTCGTCACCCTCAATGTCTCAATATGCATCGGAGTTTACCTCCTGAATTTTTATAGGTTACTCTTATCTAAAATTATTTTTAGAATAAAATTCCTTTTTTAAATTTAATTAGGCGAGCAGGTCTGACTGATAACAAAAAGCGCCGTGTCAAATCCAGACAATTGGTCCGACATTTGAATTCCGGATGGTCATCAGTTTACTGGTCGTAATTATTTCCCCACAAAGGATGCTGGGTTATTTGTTTTTACCAGTACCGTGAAGGACTCTGGATCACATTCTATTGTGCTCATCTGCCTGTAATTACAGAAACGAGCACCAGAGGTCATCGCAAACTATTGTCCCAGATTTCGTCGTCGAAGCAAAAACGCTATTAGTAGAAAGGATACTGTTAAAGAGGAACGTTGCAAAATAAATCTTTCAAAATGTTTTGTTGTTTAATTAGATTGGGTTTGGGGTGCTTCATTAAAAAACATTTGTTTGTGCAACAAGGGTAAAATATTTATTATCTCCATATAAAGAAGATACGGGTAATGTCGTACAAAATTCTAATAAAATTAATTAACTTTGAAGCAAAAAAAGAAATTCATTTATAAATTCCAAAACGGATTTTAATTTTTAAAAATTTTAATAAAATATAAATACACTTAAATGGATATTTAAGATAACTCTGTTGTGGATAAGTTCTGAATGGTAAACTGTTTGCGGAAAATATTTTTTGCTACTGAAGATTTTAATATTGACTTACAACTTCCTGTATCAATTAGCAATTTTATTTGGGTTCGCGTTTATTGATATATGGTTATGAATTGTTTGAAACATTATACATTTCTAATATCTTTTAGTTTTCAATAAAGCAAGTGTCTGAAAATTTTGTTCGGTCACCTTTTAAAATTGAAGGATTTTAAAAATTATCAAGACAATAATCCTCGTTATTGTTATTTAAATTGGTATTATTGCAAAAATTAGAATGCAATCCTTTATAAGTAAAATTTGGTTTTAAATTATAATTTTGGAAATTTCTTTTATCATATAATTGTCTTTTTGATTGGATAGAAGGGTTTTTTGATATCGTTGACATCGGTTTTGGTTTAGACAATTGGCTTTCTGGAATTTGATTTGATTTAAAAACATTTTTTGGTCTTAATGGTCCAAAAACTTGTTGATTAGTAAAATATTTTTTATTTAATTAATTTATAAATACACTTAATTAGATTTTTAAGAGAACTCTGGACTAAAGCCCACACTAAAGCTACTTCAAGTAACAATAATAATAATAAGGTTTTACTGCTATTTATAAACTAAAAATGATTATTAAGCAAAGATAATCTAATTATGACATTAAAGAGTCTATTATATTCACAATATATATTATAACTCTACTTTTGTATTTTAAATTGTAATTTAATTTTTTTATTTCCTGAAAGATTGATATATTATTAATACAATAAAAGTTACTAGTAATTAAACATAAAAAAGTTTTCCCAAACAAATTGTAATTTAAAACATGAAAAAGCACTTGGCATTTATTTCCAGAACTGAACAAAGTTGATAGACGTTGATTCCAGGATGAAAATATTGAATGAAATTAATTGGGATAACTTTTAATGACTGCATCCTGACAGACATAGACAGAGGTCTGAACTGACAACCAATTATACCGATTCCATCCAAAGCGACTGACTGTCGAAAACATCTGAACTAAGTCCCCAAGAACTCTTTAACTTTGAAGATGATTTTACTTTAAACGTAAATATATTAATTAATAGCAGTATTCCGGTCTTACCTTTATCTTTTTTCGAAAGGAATTTGAAAGTGAACTGTGAAATTCTTATTATAAAAGGGTTGCTTCTTAAAAGTTTCTGATAATTTGAATATACCGCGCAAACTAAATTTCTTATCAAGAAACATTCCTAAATATTTAATTGATTTGTAGAAAGGGAAATCGGTACCGTTTAATATGTTCAAATAGATAATATTATTGTCATTAATATTACATGTAACTTTTTGATTAATTATCATAAGTAGAATGATAGAATTTTCAATATTTTAAGGTACCTAAAATACAGCAGTATTGTCATAGTACGCCAATGTATTTCCGCATTGCAATTTTTTATGAGGTGTGCAGTGTTTTTAATTGAAAATGTATGAGTAGAAACATAGATTATATGAACTGGGTGCATTCCCTGGGTGAAAATTGCTCTGGGGAATACGCAAAAATATACATTTTCAATATCGGTTTGTTGTTACTAATGACCGGTGTTTGTTTATGGACAAGATTTACTATGTATTTAATATTAATTACCATACAATGTGTTTCAAAACTACCGAGTGTTAGTTTCTTTTCCCTCCATTACTGAAAACAGATGTAATACATATTTTATATTGTTTTTTATTTATTTTTGAGTTAAAGTTTATAAATACATTTGATTTAAATATAAAATGATAACTTACAGGTAAAACTGGTAAAAGTTATACAGTATGCCCCCCTAAGTTGGAATCATATGGTAAACTTTTTTATTATTAATTTTAGGAAAAAAGTTATTGTTGATAAAAAGTCCTGCATGAGCCAAAACTTAAAATACAGTCATCAGATATCAAATTTTTCAAGCCGTATACGAGGTTTGTCAAAAAATATGAATTTTGCTCAAGAGTAAAGTAAGTTTTTTGACAAAATCGAAAATTTTTATTAAGAAAATTGCTAAATTCTTTACAAATATCAAGAAAAGGAAAGCGTATCATGTTTATAGTAGAGAAGAGAGAGACAAAATATGGATTACCGTAATTAAGTGAATCAATGAAAAATCTAGAAAAAAATCTGATTTTTCTGATAGATTGGTGTACAGTTCATCAAATTTCTAGAGGCTTTCGACGGCTAGACAGAGAAAGCACTACTGACAGGCATCCCGACGGATTTACGCAATGAAAGTACACTCTGCGCATCAAGTATTTCACTATTTCATTCAGACGTAAATGTCAGATGTAAATTTCGCTAAAACATTTCTTTTATTTTCGTTTGTGTTTTTTGCTCATTACAGTTTAATAGAACCTAAGTATGGAGTTTAATAGCAAATTAAGAGGTCGCGTGATTAACAGTCAATCTCGCGAAATAATAGCCAATGTTATAGAGTTTATGAGAAGAGAAGGAAACTTTAATTCACCTTCAATACCATTTAAAAATGTAAATGATCGTGTTGCTGCAGCCACAGGAGTATCTAAAAACACTGTCGTCCGCATTTCTGGAGAGAAAAAAAGAATCGATAACCGTGAGATATCGGAATTTTCATCACCAAGAAAAACCATTAAAAAACCAAAAACAGTTAATGATATAGATGAAGCTGCACAAGAATCAAATTTTATTTTTTTATTATTAGATAGCTATTTTTGTTTCTGAGTTGTGTTCATTTACAGGTTCAATTTTTTTCCGTTTCTCCTTTTTGATTTTATATGGGGTTTCAAGTTGTTTTTGACTTATTTCAACATAAATCACAACACACTTTTTTAATAAAGCAAACAAGTGTTAAGAGGTATATGTACGTGTAAACTACAATTACAAAAAATTGATATGAAACCCATGAAACCACCAACAAAAATGTAAAGCTAGAGCTTCCGTACTAGAACATGGTGTCATTCGTCGAGATAATTTATCGTTTTGTTTAATAGATCAAGAAATGTAAATATTCCCCTGTTATTTTTTATAAAATTATACGAGAAATAAATTTTTTTTTAAATAGTATAGTTTATTATTTTGTAGAAAAACAAAATTTCGAAAATTTTAGTAATGTTTCAGAAACAACCGTTATTAATAATAGGTACCATTTTCCTTAATAAGGTAGAAATAAAATATAAACTATTTCCACGATTTACAAAGGTCTACAAAAAAATTATAGGTATTTTCCGCTATCCTATAAAATGTATATTTTCTGACTCAATTTCAAAAGGTTGAAGGAATTCCAAAACACCTTTTATGGCATAATAATTATTTTCAATTCTACATACTATCTTTAGCTGTTTTTAAAAACGTTCTAAGAAAGTCCAATCAGACCAATTTAATCCCTAAACTACTCCGCACTTTTAAAATTTAATTACCTAAAAATATTAAAAACTATTTAAAATAACTTGTTTAGCAGACTGTACAATAGCTATCTTAGTCACACGTAGCGCGTTCTCTGTCTGGGCGTCGAACACCTCTAGAAATTTGATGAACTGTAATTGCATATTTGCATCAAATTTTCAATTCTAATCAACTGTCAGGTGATTAGAGGTACAAAAATTTACAAGTGTAAATTAACTTCCCCATTTAGTCAGAACTTGTTTATATTAATATAAATCATTTATTTAAATAAATGAAGATAAAATATATGTAACAAGACAAACAAGTAACACACAAACACAAACGTTCCTAATAGATTATTAATTGTAACTGTTTGTGTTACGTTATGAGATTATTATTCAAGAATCATCTCTACATCAAACAGTCTTATAGAACTCCGTGCTCTACATTCTTATGTGAGAAATATTCTATTCTTAAAAGACAAAAAAAATCATTTTAGGTCTATACTAGTTAACCGAAATCGAACTTTAAATCTGTTATATAAGAAAATACCCTATTTATAGCTGAACGGATACGTTGCAATTTCACTGTATTTCCAATTGAAGATATTTGAAAGTAAAATGTTCAAAGGGTATTCGAACATAAAAATAACATATCGTTTTAAATCGCCCTTATCTCCATATCGCCAGACATAACTCATTCACAAAGCCGTTTTAACATTCTAAAATACCTTCCTTTTCGAGGTAAAAACACGAAAAATATGTAAATCTCAATATACATAAAAAGTTCTCTAACTTAGTATCTCTTTTCGAAACTTCATAACGTCAACGCCAAATCGATACATTGACTGCTACCGAAGTGGCCGAAGGTACATGAAAACGACTAAATTGAAAAAGTTGTTCTCCGCTCAGTACACATTCTAAGCAAATTCAATTTTGGGGTTAGTCCCTTCCGGTTTTCGCAATATCTTGAGTTGCTGACCGAACAGACTTTTCACGGGTGTAAATGTGACTTGCTGTTTTTTGAAGGGTTTTCGGAATATTTTTAAGGCAGTCGATAAATCGTATACATCATGGTGGAATGCGGATTGTAACAAAATAATTAAAGATTTAAAAAATAACTAATGATGGAAGTGGCGGAAAGACAGAAGACAAAATTCCTAAGATCATGATCTCGTCCTCAGTTACCGAAAATGTGTGATCAGTTTTTTGTGCTGCATACAACATCGACTGTGAATGATTCAAGAATACCGAATACGATGACAGAGAGAACAAATTGGTGATAGGACACTTCACATCCCACAGTAGAATGTCACATCGTTCAACTTCGAGAATAGGGCCCCAGATGTCTACCATGTGGAATTTCTTTAACTTTTAAGCGATAGATGTCACTAGTGATGAAATTTGAAAGCTGTACCCAAGTGAGTACAATGGGAACAAATGGGTTTTAATGTATTATGTTTTATCGAATCAAAATATTTATGTAAGTGTTCATAATTTTCATAAAATAACAGATCATTCGATTATAAGTATTAATTTTGAGAAAAATGTGGATCATGTAAATAAATAATTAAAAAGTAACACCCTAGATGGTATTAGATCCTCTTGTTCATAAATGCCGGTTGATTTAGGCATTTTTTTATTCTTGTCGCCAAAATTTCTGGATTGAGTTGAGGACTTTCAAGGTGGGCTATTATTTGCCGCAGTTGGTGCATATAGTGAGAAATGTCTTTATTGAAAACATAATTTTATTAACACAGTCTGACACACTCCGTTCATTATCTTTACTATAAGTTGTAAATCAAAGACATCCAATATGGGAAACAATAAAGAATAAACTTCTAATTCGTTGATTTTAAAAGTTTTTCAATAATTAGTAATAAAATATACTGACCGAGAGATCGCCTCCGTAAAAAGGATGAATTACAAAAGTCTCGTTGCCAACATGGATGACACCACTAACTCCATTACACGTGTGAAACGCAGCGGTGGCTCCAGGATAATCTTGCACCGTCCCGTGGTAGTAACAATGTTCTATATCCTGTAAAAGAAATATTTATTTACAGAAAACAATGGTCATAAAAACAATATTGTATTATTGGCTATTTATGTACCCAGTGAAAAACTGTTTTATATTGTGTAACGAGGATCTGAAAAATTAACAAGATACAAAAAAACATTTTTCTAATTTTGACTAGATTTTGTTTTGTAAAAAATTATTAGTAATATCTATGCATTCAATATTATTTTCTTGCACTGTTAGTTGTATAAATTTATCTATATTACTGATAAATAAAAAAACTATATAGTTCTTTCTAAACTTCTTGTTGTAATGTAATTCCTTGTTACAAAAAACAGAATTGTTACTAGGTTGCGTAGACACTTTGTATATATGATACTTAATCTTGTAATTTGTCAATAAAATGTTTTTCAACGTTACTTATATTTGTCTTCTGCATATATAACAGGTTATGGGCCCAGGATATTTTAAATCTATTATTACATCGCCAACTTTTTTTTCTTTAATATAAACTTAAAGTATTATATTTCTTGTCTTTTCGCAAATGAATTTTTCGTAACCAGTTAATATAACTTTATGCAACTAGTTGCAGAAAGTAGATTATTTTGACACAATTTTGGGTGGTTCTTTTATAATTTGTTTTTATAGAAACATTTTTTTACACTGTAAATAAATTTTTATCAACTACTTAATTTAAGAGTGTATTTTAACATAAAATTGCATTTTTAAAAGTTTTCTCCTCTTTTTTTATCCAAACTAATCATTCTACTTCTATCTAGAAAAAAAAACGCCAAAGAAAATATATTGGATATCCAGTACATTGAATAATTTTCTAAAAATATTTTATCTGACACAAAAATAAAGCAGCTAAATTAACGGCGAAAAGTTCGCAAGATCGAACTTCGAGTCCGACATTCGAAAGTTTAAATTGCCCGTAAGAAGCCGAACTGCACTCTACCTAAATAAAATTGTAGTTTAGATTCACGTTATTACATTTACTATCAGCGTATAACAGTTAAGGAACTTCTTTTTATCTAAATTATTGACTTTTGTACACTGAAAGAATATTTTAATATAATTTGTAAGAACGTATCGTATTTGATAATTTTTGTGGAAGATAAAAAAAAAGATTATAATAATATTATTAATAAAAAATATAATGAACAAAATTCAAATATAATGGCATAAATTAATAGTTTATGCCAGTGGTCGCCAACCTGTCGATCGCGAGCTACCGGTAGCTCGCAGAGGCAATTCTGGTAGTTCTCACAACGATTTTAATTTAAAAAATACAAACTGCAAAAATCAGAGAAAATTCCACAAAAAAATCTAATTGTCATAATATTAAACATAAACAGCGGCAACGTTGCGGTGAGCGATCTGCCGCTGACGCCATCAAGCTAGAATCGGCTAGAACCGACCAGCGGGATCAGCGCGTTAGTGTTCGAGAACGATCAGGATTGCTTTAAACGGGATAAATACGCACGGCGCGGCGACATTGCGCTTAGTTTAAAACTGAACGCGTAACCAACGTCCATCGGTCGGGTTAGTAGAGAACAACAAAAAATAATATTATGGCAAGCAGTTGTAAGAAGGTAAAGACATACCACTTTCATTCGGAATGGGAAGAACAATACTTTTTTACAGAAGTTAAAGATAAAAATGTGTGTTTGTTATGTAATACTTCGGTCTCCGTTGCTAAAAAAGGAAATATTGAGAGACATCATAAAACTGTACATTCTAATTTTGAAAAATCATTCATACTACATTCTGCCGTCAGAAAGGAGAAACTGAAACAGTTAAAAAAGCAGTTAATTGGACAACAATCAATATTTTTAAGAAGAGTCAATAAAAATAAGGCTGCAACTGAAGCATCGTACCGTGTGTCCCAGATAATTGCACAAAAAAAGAAACCTTATGAAGACGGGGAAATGATAAAACAGGCGTTTTTAGAAGCTGCTGATTCGTTATTTGCCAACTTTAGAAAGAAAGACGAGATAGTTTCAGCTATAAAATCTATGCAACTTTCTGCTAATACAGTGATGAGACGTGTAGAAGTAATGAGCAATGATATTTTTTACAAATAAGAACTGACTTAGATAACTGTGTTTATTTTTCACTTCAACTGGATGAATCAACAGATGTCGTTGACACTGCCCAGATGGCCGTGTTCGTCAGGATGGTTTTGAGTGATTTTACGATTAAAGAAAATCTTTTGAAGTTTATTCCACTGAAAGGACACACTACTAGACAGGAGTTGTTTTCTCATTTAAAAAATATTATTTCTTCCGAGAAAATTCCAATATCGAAAATGGTAGGCTTGACAACCGATGGCGCTCCAGCTATGGTGGGTTGTGATAAGGGTCTGGTGGCGTTATGTCGTAAAGATGAAACTTTTCCGCAATTTCTCTGTTACCACTGCATTATCCATCAGCAAGTACCAGGTCTTCAACAATACCCGAAACCCACGTGATCTGATAACCATCAAAAACCCATCGAAAGGGCCTGATTTGACGTAAAAGGAACTAAACTGAACTGTCAGTCCTGTCAGAAATGTCACTGGCGTTCATTTGGGGACTGACAATATTTATATTATATTTGTTTACATTTTATAAACACCTTTATTCCATTTTTTATTTTAATATTAATAAAGCAAATAGTTATTTTTAGAGATTATTGGTGGCTTAATTCTTTTTTGTTGGTAAGTACAAATTTATTTACTGTAAGTCGTAAAAGTTAATGACTATATAATTTATTTCAGGTAATATATTACACATGAACAAAATTATTTTATATTCCTAATTGTATTCGAAAATTTGAGGAACGTTTTCCAGGTGAATAAATGGAATGTGATTCTTTTTTGTCGTCATAAACAAATACTTGTTCAAAATTATAAAAAAAGGAAAAAGCTCTATAAGGCCCACAGTATAATAGCAAAAGATGTGCAAATTAACATGGTGCAAATTCCCAATAAATTAGTCAAAAAAACAGCACCTCAAACAGGTATGAACGGTGTTTCAAAGACTGACTGTAGCGAGGGAAATTCAAAACATATTTTTTTAGGTTTGTCGCAATGAACTAGCCATAAAGTATTGAAAACATTTATGATAATACATCCCCTATAAAGTTTCGGTACTGCAATAATCATTTTACCTTAATTTTGTTAAACCTACCTTTGGAATATTACAGATCGTTTGTGTGACGTTTATAAACTGGAGTACATAAAATGGGGGTTATTAAATGAAATACAAAATATAACTGAAGAGAAACTGCATGTGTTCAAAAAAGAATGATTAATGATTGCATTAAAGCTGGTGGTAAAGATTTTGAACAGATAGGTACTGTGAATTAGTATCGTTTATGCACCACCGATTACTACTCAATATCCTTTCAAATAAAATGATTGTTAATAGGTATGCCTTTATAATTTAAAGTGAGAGCTGTAAGGTAAAACAAATATGTGCTTGTTACATTAATAATATTAATATTTTTGTGTATACATATAAATAACAATGTATTTATATAAATAATAGAACAAACTTAAAAAATTATTTGTTTATTACTTCCCATTGCTCAGGTACAATTACAGTAAATTTTAGATTTGTTTACTTAAACTGCAATAATTGCCAAATACTGCCATTGTCTTCTGCCTATCGTATTTAATGTTTCAGCTGTAGCTAAATATCTTAGGAGTCAATCTAAAGTAAATAATTTTTAATTTTATTCATATTTTAATGCATAACACTTTTTGTCCATAACTTTCTTGTGCCCTATTCTGGTAAATGTTTTTTTTTTGTAATAGTGGCAATAACTAGTACGAACCATATTTCAGTTTATTATTCTTTTCGTTAAATACAAAATAGATATAAATCAGAACGATATAAATAGCTCAGTTTTTAAGGTTATGTTAATTATGTCATATTATAAATTAGACTATTGCATTTGACTAAATATAAAAAAATATCGAATTCTAACATTAAAATACAATAATCTAAAGCACCTCTAATTAATATTATGATTTTGTGTTGTAATTCTAACAGTTACCTAACTGAATTTTGTTCTCGTAGTTGAAGACCATAAAAAAAGAAGAAGATCTATTTTGTAATAAAATACCTACGGCACTGGCTCGCATCTAGGGATTTTTACTTTTATTTTCGCCAATCGCTGTCATGACGATTTGATCACGTGGGTTTTTGGTATTGTTGAAGACCCAGTATTATGTGGAAATTTCCTGAAACTAAACAACGTTATGGAACTGGTGGTAAAAATTGTGAACAAGATTAGAGCTCAAGCGTTACAAAGAAGATTATTCAAAACCTTGGCCGATGAAGTTGACTGTCAATACGGGGACTTACTCCTTCACTCTGAAGTCCGATGGTTAAGTAGAGGACGGGTGCTGAAACGTTTTAATGATGTCCTATCTGGCATAGTTCAATTTTTTTCAAACAACGCGATGAACCGACTCCGGAACTAATAAATTCAATCTGGCTTAGAGATTTTGGTTTTCTCGTGGACATTACAGAGAAATTAAACGAACTTAATTTGCAGCTTCAGGGGAGAGACAAAGAACTAGCGGAAATGATTTCTGATATAAAAGCATTTATCAAAAGGGAGCGTTCAAGTATTACGTAACGAATTTGGGGGGGGAGGGGGGGTTTTGTAAAACGTTACGATACGTTACAGAGGCGGAAGGGTGGTTTGAACTACGCGTTACGTAACATTATTATTTTTTAACCCTTAAGAAAAGTCGCGTAGAGAGATTTTCACACGCATTTTTTAAAACGTTTTTTTTTTCTTAAAATTTCAAATGGAGTGACATAATTGTGATTTTTAGGTAAAAAATAGTCACTTTGTGGTTACATAACGTTTTACTAGGGGGGGGGGGGGGTACAGAAAAGCGTTACGGCGCGTTATATCGGGGGGAGGGGGGGTTAAAAATCTCCAAAAATTGCGTTACGTAATACTTGAACGCTCCCAAAGCTGGAGTTTTGGGAACAAAACCTAATTAACAGCGATTGCCA